GGAACCCCGGCTGACAGATAGAAACAGGAATGTCAGAGGTCCTGTTCACTCTGAGAACTGGCTCTGAGGAAGCAGGACCAGTGTCAAATACTTCGGACATATAATTAAAGGGTGACTTGGTGATGGGATAGCGGCCTCTGTGGAGTTATTTCAGTGGCAATGAGAGGAAAAACTATGCTCCTAAAGAAATTTGCTCACTACAGTCAGCTGTGGGTTGGGGGTAGGCATTTCTAACATCATGCCGTTATTTGGAAAGTTTGATTTGTTTGATCCTGCTATCAAAGACAGGCCCCAGTATGTGGACAAAATGTATTATTTTTTCTGGGCAAATGACATTGGAGCCGATGAAAAGCAACGTGAAATTCTCATGACAGCTTGTGGACCCACAGCTTTTTCAGTTATTAAGTACCTAACGTTTCCTGAAGCACCAGATACTAAAACCGTTCAAGAGTTGACAGATTTCATTAAGGAATACTATGAACCCAAGCCTCCTCTAATTCTGAGACCCTATCAGTTTTACTCAGCAGTTAGAGAACCATGTCAAGATTTTTGACGAGTTTGAGACATAGAAAGAAGGTCATGGTTGTGAGAGGTCAATCATCTCAGCTCCAGGACATCTCCGCAGGAGTTCCTCAGGGTAGTGTCCTAGGCCCAAGCATCTTCAGCTGCTTCATCAATGACCTTCCCTTCATCATAAGGTCAGAAGTGGACATGTTCGCCGATGATTGCACAATGTTCAGCACCATTCGTGACTCCTCAGATACTGAAGCAGTCCATGTTCAAATGCAACAAGATTTGGACAATATCCAGGCTTGGGCTGACAAGTGGCAAGTGACATTCGTGCCACACAAATGCCAGGCTATGACCATCACCAATAAGAGACAATCTAACCACCGCCTCTTGACATTCAAAAGGGGTTACCACCACTGAATCTCCCACTATCAACATCCTGGGGGTTACCATTGACCAGAAACTCAACTGGACTCACCACATGAACAGAGTGGCTACAAGAGCAGGCCAGAAGCTGGGAATACTGCAGCGAGTATCTCACCTCCTGATTCCTCAAAGCCTGTCCACCATCTACAAGGCACAAGTCAGGAGTGTGATAGAATACTCCCCACTTGCCTGGATGAGTGCAGCCCCAACAACACTCAAGAAGTTTGACACCATCCAGGACAAAGCAGCCCGCTTGATTGGCACAACATCCACAAGCATTCCACCACCGAAGCTCAGTAGCAGCTGTGTGTACTATCTACAGGATGCACTGCAGAAATTCACCAAAGATCCTCAGACAGCACCTTCTAAACCCACAAGCACTTCCATCTAGAAGGACAAGGGCAGCAGATATATGGGAACGCCACCACCTCCAAGTTCCCCTCCAAGTCACTCACCATCCTGACTTGGAAATATATTGCTGTTCCTTCACTGTCTCTGGGTCAAAATCCTGGAATTCCCTCCCTAATAACGTTGTGGGTCAACCCACAGCAGGAGGACTGCAGCGGTTCAAGAAGGCAGCTCACCACCACTTTGTCAAGGGCAACTAGGGATGGGCAAGAAATGCTAGCCAGCCAGCGACACCCACATCCAACAAATGAATAGAAAAAAAAAGACAACTGGCAGGGGCATGTGACCTTTAATTTACCCTTAATGAGATGCTGAGAGACTGGTATGTGGGATTAATGATGTGATCATGAAACATCACCTACTCGTTGAAGCCCAACTGGAATTCAAACAGGCACTACAACTGGCTTTTTCATCAGAAAATGTGATAAGTGGAGCATGACATATAGGGTATGCAGATGGAAGTGGATACCCTCACTAGGCCGACTGAGTTTGGGGGATGCCACTTCAGTGCAGGCAATTGCATAGCCTCACTCTGGACTATCCTGTTTAGCTGAGGCTTGGCTTTACTTTTACTTTAGGCCACAGCAAAACCCTAACGTAAAGCCAAGCCTAAGCTAAACAGTTAACATTGTCCTCAGGATCCAGGCCAGCAAGCCAGTACAGGCAGATCATAGTAAGCAAAGACATACAGATCGTCAGGTGAAAAAAAAAAGCACTTGGACAGAGTGAAGCATACAGGTAACACCGTATGCTAGGCAAGATCAACATTAATAAGATCAGCATTATTTGAAGTTAGAGAGTTCATTCATCAGTCTAATAATGGCAAGGAAGAAGCTGTTCTTGAACCTGTTGGTGCGTGTGTTCAGGCTGCTGTATCTTCTGCCTGACGGAAGAGGTTGTAGGAGAGCATTACTGGGATGGGAGGGGTCTTTGAAGATGTTGGCAGCCTTTCAGTGGCAACAAGAAGTGTAAATGGAGTCCGTGGTGGTTGGCTTCTGTGATGGTCTGGGCTGTGCTCACAACATTCTGTTGTTTCTTACGGTCCTGGGCAGAGCAGTTGCCATACCAGGCCATTATGTACCCGGACAGTATGCCTTCTATGGTGCATCTGAAAAAGTTGGTGAGGGTCCTTATGGACATGCTGAATTTCCTAAGCTGCCTGAGGAAGAAGAGGCATTGTTGTGCCTTTTTGACTCTCGCATCTACATTGGATGTCCAGAATAGTTTGTCAGTTATCATCACTCAATGGAACTTGATAGTCTCAATGTTCTCAACCTCCACTCCTTTCTAAATGGGGAAGGGTTTGGAAATCAGAAGGACAAAGGGACTTGAGAGTCCTAGTTCAGTATTCGCTTAAGGTTAACATGCAGGTTTATTTAGTAATTACGAAGGCAAATACAATGTTGGCATTCATTTCAGAGGGCTATAATACAAGAGCAGAGATGTACCGCTGAGGCTGTATGAGGCTCTGGCCTGGCTGCATTTGGAATTTTGCAAGCAATTTTAAGCCCCAAATCTATAGAAGGATGTGCTGGCATTGGATTGGGCCAGAAGGGGTTTGCAAGAATGAATCTGGGAATGAAGTGTTTGTCATATAGAGAGCAGTTGAGGACCCTGGGTCTGTGCTTGATGGAATTTGTAAGAATGAGGGGGATCTGATTGAAACTTACAGAATACTGAGAGGCCTGGCTACAGTGGAGGTGGAGATGTTTCCATTTGTAGAAGAGTCTAGGACCAAAGGGCACAGTGTCAGAATGAAAGGACGACAGTTTAGAAATGAGATGAGGAGGAATTTCTTCAGTCAGAGGGTGATTAATCTGTGGAACTCATTGCCACAGAGTGCTGTGGAGGGCAAGTCATTGAGTGTATTTAAAAAAGGAATGGATAGGTTCTTGATTGATAAGGAAGTCAACGATTACAGGGAGAAGGCAGGAGAATAGGGTTGAGAAACATATCAGCATGATTGAATACACAGCAGACTCAGTGGGCCGAATGGCCTAATTCTGCTCCTATATCTTATGGTTTTATGGAATATCGATAGTGGGAGTTTCAGCATGGTAATATCATTGAATGTGAAGGAGCAATAATTAGCTTCTGTCTTCTTGGAGGAGATCATTGCTTGGCATTTATGTGGCACAGTTGATACATGCCACCTATCTGCCCAAATTTAGATGGTGTTGAATTTGGAAATGGACTGGCTCAGCATCTGCGAATCCATGAATGATGCTGAACATTATGCAATGATCACTGAACGTCCCTCCTTCTGACCTTATGGTGGAATGAAGTTTATTGATAAAGCAGTTGAAGATATTTGGGCCTCAGACACCGCTGTGTGGATTTCTTGCAGAAATGTTCTGGAGCTGAGATTTCTGACCTCAAACAACCAAATCTATTTTCCTAATGGCAGTTAAGACTCCGTGATAGAATACTCTCCACTTGCCTGGATGTTGCTACCCACCAATATACTGGAAACTCGAAAACTACACCATCTAAGACAAACTAGCCCACTAGATCAGCACTGCAATTATCTAATTATCATGCCCTCCACCAACACCGGCACCCCACTGGAGCTGCAGTCTGTTTAATATGCAAGGTGCACTGCAACAACATGTCTTCTTTGATAATACCATATGAACAAGCAAACTTTACTACCTGGAATAGGAAGGTCAATAAATTCATAGGAGTATCATCGACTACAAATGTCCATCTAAATCACACATCATCCTCTGTTGGTACCACTTTCCTGTGCTTTCACTGTAGTATCAAAAACTCAAAATTCCCTTCCTAACAGCATTTTGGACAGACAGATACCAAATGCACTGCAGCTGTTGAATAACTCACTATTATCGTCTCAAGAGAAATTTGAGTTAGTGAACAAACTTGCTGGTGGTGCTTAGACATCATTTAAGCCAATTGGTCACACTGAGACATCAAATGAGCATTTGAGGATAACTGAAAATCGGGTAAAATAATCTCAGAAGGTGGCAGTATCAATTGTAGAGACTTTTTTGTTACTGGAACACATTATGCCTCAAATATGTTTATGATCTAATTTTCTGGAGGTGAAATGTTTTTTGCATACTTTCCACTGTCTGTGGGAGACCAAAAATTGTCCGGTTTGCAAATAACTTGAATGCTGTGTTTGTGTTTTGCTGATAAAGCTATGTCAGGATCTTCCTGTTATCATTCAATCACAATTTCCGTAAACTCCTGACTGTCAATTAGGTGACTCACAAATTAGTAGACTTCTTCAAAATATATTGATAGGAATGGAACAGTGAGTATTCTGAAGCAATTTAATATGATGCGTGTTATATTCTCACCCAGTACAGTGGGTCACCACAACAAAAACGCAACGTCTCCAGCACGATCCAGTTGCATGTGTCTGCCTGCTGGAAACACAAAATTGGTTAACCAATTGTGAAATGAGGGTTAGAGGATGAAAGTGTGTTCAAAATGTCATAAATGTTATTGCAAATTTTAATGTACATTATTCTTCCCTGTTCTAGCATTGTTAATTTTATTTTAAATCCTTATTTCTAGACTGTTATCTCAATATCAAACTTACTTTTTTCAATATATTATGTAATAATGATATTTGATTTTCATGATTTCTGTTGAATTACAGTTTGTATTTGTCAAACTTGTAACCTTAGATTTCAGAAATTGAATATACGATCCCTTGAGTCAGAAATTGAAGTTACGGTTGAACGTATTCTTCAACACTATTTTGGAGAGTTAATGACCATACAAAAAGTAAGAATAATTATTTTAATAAGATTTCCTGAAACACGCCAGTATGTTTGAATTTCTTTATTTATGAACTCAGATGTGCAACTTGAAAATTCTAGTCGCTCATGATTCAGCAGGAAGTCCAGCCAAAAAAAGCACAATAATATTTATTTTTCAATGTAGTCATTACAGTAAGGAATTAGGCTTTTTTTTGATTGAGTCCGTACTAGCTCTCACAAATCTAGTGAACCTTGGATATTGATGGATATGCAGGATTGGATAAAAGTTAAAATGTTGGCTTATGCCAGGTACCAAGGGCTCAAAAAAGCAGAAGCCCTAAAAAAGCCCTAAAATATGCGTGGAGGAGCTTAAAGAGGAAATTCAGACATCAAAAAGAGGCATGAAAGGATCATGACATGTAAAATGAAAGAAAATCCCAAGCTATTTCACAAGCACATTAAGGGTAAAAGGCTAATTAGGGAAAGAATAGTAATTTTTGTTTGAATGGAAGACGTAGATAGTGTTCAAAATGAAAATTCTGTGTCAGTGTTCACTAACGAGAGGGACAGTGTGTGTGTATAAATCATGGAGAAGAACTGATATATTTAATGAAATTAGCATAGACAGAGGAGGACTGGGGAGATTGGGTGAATGCTTTGCACAGCACCTACATTGTCCATAAATATAACCTCAAGCTTCTAATTGCCTGCCATTTCAACACACCATGTGTTCCCTGGCCAAAATTTCTGTTTTGGGTCTGCTGCAGTGCTGCGGTAAGGCTTAGCACAAGTAGGAAGAACAGCATCTCATTTTCTACTTGGGGACCCTGCAACCATTAAGAATCGATTTCCAGTTCAATAATTTTAGAGCATGAACACCTCCTTTACCCATCCCCACACCACAGGCCCTATCATGATAATGGACTACGTTCAGCACATCTAACCCATTTTCACCTACGCATTGCTCCCATTTTCATCCTCCCACTCGGATCAATTACCCCTGTGGCTATCTAACTTTCTTTCTCTCTCTCTAGGCTCTGCTCACGCCTTTCCCTGACCCTGTCAGCAGCATGTATACCACCTTTTCCGAGGCACTATTAGTTCTGAAGTTGGTCACTGGACTAGAAATGTTAACTCTGCTTTCTCTCCACAGATACTGCCAGGCCTGTTGAGTTGCTCCAGCAATTTCTTTTTCATTACAAGGCATGTTATTATTAGTCTTGCAGGCTTAGAAGTAGCTAAATCTCCATGGCTGGATGAAATATATCCCAGACTGTTGAGAGAAGCAAGTGAGCAAATAACAGGGGTGCTGGCAATAATTTTCAAATCCTCTCTGGCCACAGGAAAAGTTCCAGAGGATTGGAGGCCAGCCAATCATAGAAACTTTGAACTGTAGAATTCACAGTACGGAGGGTGGCCATTGGATGCACTGGCTCCTGAAAGAGCTACCCAGTTAGTGCCATTCTCCGGTACTAACTCAATAGCCCTCTAAATTAATCACTTTTCAAATACATATCCAGCTCTCTTTTGAAACCTCCTATGGAATCCATCTCCCAGGCAGCATATTTGAAATATTAACACCTCTCTGAATAAGGAAGCTTCTCCTCATCTGATTCCTAGGTATCTTCCTGCCAATCTTGAAATTGTGACCCCATGTTACTGACATACCAGCTAGGGGAAACAGAATATAGTTTTTTACCATGTCAAAGTAGTTCATAATTTTGAACATCTAAATGAGGTTACCTCTTAATCTTCTCTGCCCCAGTGAGAATAAGCCTAATTTCTCTAATTTTTCCTTATATCTAAAATACCTCATTCCTAGTATCATTCTAGTAGATCTCCTTTGCAACTGTCCAAGGTTTTAACATCCTTCCTGAAGTAAGGTGTCCATAACTGAACAGAATACTCCTAAAGTAGTCTGACCAGTAGATGTGAAACATCACTTTATGCCTCTATGTATAAACCCAAAGATTCTATAAGACTTCTTAACAACTATTTGAACTTACCTGGCCGCATTCAGACAGTGCTGCACATAAACCCTGAGGTCCCTCTAATCTTGTACTCCCCTCAAAATTGTACCATTAAGGCTGAACAGTGACGCGAGCAATGGCTAAACAAAGTCCATCATCAGCATCAAATTGGCACCACAGGTAGATCTTTGATGATATGTAACTTTCTTCGGGGATTTTGTAAGAGACCACGTATTTTTTCTTCTTAGTCTATAAACTGAAGTGGAAGCCTGACACTGCTATATGGCTGAAATACCAGGAGAGCTTCGCAGTTTGTGAAAATCAAGTGCTGCACATTTTTAGCTGTTAAGACAATGCGGCTGTCATGGGTCAGTGAGATTGCTACATTATTGTGACTAAGCAGACTAGGAAATTTTAAGAAAAAATACTGCCTGACAATAGTCCTCAGATTGGCGAAGCTGCAACTTGCTTTAAACCCGTAACAGAGCAGCTGGAGACCTTCAGGGATAGCAAACTGAAAATCTCTTTCTCTCTCTCTCTCTAGCTCCCCCCCCCCCCCCCCCCCCCCCACGCCGTCCCCCCGGTGTGAATGAAAAGAGAAAAAAATGTTTAAAGATGAAAAAAATCCTAACAAGCAAAGACCTCAGTCCACTGGTTTAATGGACAACAGTGTGTTATCATTCCTGAAATTAATGGAACTGTGAGAAACAATTTCACCTGTTCTTGTGATCACCTGTTCTTGTGATCCTGGATTTTTGATCTTCAAAACTTTATTCCCTGCTTTTTCCAACTCATAAGATCTACCAAACCATCTGTCTTTTGTCTGTCTTAATTGTGATTATGTATGTGCAAATTTGTTTTGTTTTTAAGGCATATAGTTGCATTTTAGTAGATTAATAATCCTCTCTCTTCTCAGAGATATGTTAGAAGTGAGTCATTTTCAGTTAGGGCAAAAGCTGGTGTGAATTGCTTTTGTTCTGAGTAACAGACAAATTGGTAATGTTGGTTGTCTAGTTGGAATGTTATTCATTTTGTGAAGGCTTGTGGAACAGTGGGGCATAATTTTCGGTGCACTATTCCCAGTTAAGCTGTGACAATTTGGAAAATCCAAAGGAAGTGTTCAAAATACCTTTGTTCATCAAGGCTCAGCAAGCTGATACAGAGCTCAATCAGCACAAGCTGACATTGAAGGCAAGGGATTGCCAAAATGTACTATATTAAAAATGGGATTTTATTGGCCGTATATCAGTAGTAAGAAAAAATTTGGAAATGCTTTTTATTCATTCATGGGATGTGGCCTTTGTTATCTAGCCCAACATTTATTCCCAATCCCTAGGTGCCTTTTGAGAAGGCAATGGGAATCTGCTTTCTTGTTCTGTTGCATTCCATATGGTGTAGGTATATCCACATTGCTGTTAGGGCTGGAATTCCAGGATTTTGATGCAGCAATCTTGAAGGAATTTCACAATATTTCCAATATAGGATGATGAATGGATTGGTAGGGAACTTGCAGGTGATAATGTTGCTATATCTTTTGCTCTTGTCCTCCTAGATGGCCGTGGTGGTGGTTTGGAATATACTGTATAAATAGCCTTGGCAAATTTCTGCAGTGGATTATACACACTGCTGCAATTGTGTGTTATGGTTGAAGAAGTGAATGTTTTTGTAAGTGGTACTAATCATCAAACAGGGTGTTTTTGTTTTGAATGGTGTCAAACTTCTTGAGTGTTGTTAGAGTTGCAGGCATCCAGGCAAATGGAGAGTATTGCATCACACTCCTGAAGACCATGATTGTGCCGAAACCTCCATGCCTCAGCAATCGAGTAAGGGTCACTGTCCATTTTTCCTCCTTTTCCATTACTGCTACTGTGAATGTATTCGTAAAATGCCCAAATTTCTTTCGCTATTTCACAGTCATCCTCTATTTTGTCACCTGGAAGTACCAGTGACATTCATGCAATCTTTGCCCTCAAAAGGGTGGCCATGCTAGACATCTCCTCCACCTTTGAGGAAGAACCCACAGATGCTTCTGAGATGAACCAGCAAGACTGCTTCATGTATCCACCACGAACATAGATTCTGACAGATTAAAGTCTAGAGCACATGCTGGTGTCATTACCACACCTCAGCAGCAGGTCAACAAAAAATTCCCTTGTTTGCTGGCACTTAGAGGCCTACCAAAGACCAGGTACGTGTACAGCTTCAGGTAGGAGATGACTCCATTATATCAGCCAGTACAAGTGAATAAGGTGATAAAGAAAGCATACAGCATGCTTGCCTTCATTGGTCAGGGCACTGGATATAAAAGTTGGCCACATCTGGAACACCATGTAAAATTCTGGTCGCTGCACTTTAGGAAGAATGTGGAGGCTTTGGAGGAAGTGCAGAAGAGGTTTACCAGGATGTTGCCTGGATTGGAATGTAGTAGCTATAAGGAGAGATCAGGTAAACTTGGATCATTTTTGCTAGAATGTCAGAGACAAAGGGGCAACCTCATAGAATTATCCAAAATTCTGAGAGGCATAGCTGGGGTGGATAGTCAGAGTCTCTTCCCAGGGTGGAAATACTAGGAGGTCATAAGTTTAACATGAGAGAGGAAAAGTTTAAATGAGATGTGTGAGGAACGTTTTATACACAGCATGTAGGAGGTGCCTGGAATGCACTGCCGGGGAGGTGGCCGCAGCTGAAATGTTATCAAAGTTTACGAAGACACATGAACACAGAAAGGAGAAATGTGGACCATATACAGGCAGATGAGATTAGTTTAGAATAGCATCATGGCTGGCACAGACATGGTGAGCTGAAGGGCCCTTTCCTGTGCCGTACTGACCTATGTTCTATTAGTTCAGCCAAATATAGAAGCAGGCATAGGAGCAGCAGCAGGTTGTGTGGAGGCAGTGGCAAACTGATTTGAATTTTAGATAACTTTATCAATACTGTTTGTACCGTGTAGGAACATGAGCATCAGGCTGACTTGATGAACAGGTGGCTGGCTGTCCAACACACTTAGTGTCTGGGTATGTGCATAGACCTATACTCCATCACGTCAGCTATT